GAAGTGTGATGATGACCACCCATTGTGCCGGGCGATTCATGATTCGTAAAATTCCATGGCTCCCAGCTGTAAGAGAGTCTGAGTGTGCTGCCCTAGCCGGGGCATCTACACCAATGGGAGGGATGGATTTCATTATGGGACCTGGAGACATATGGATGAATTTACACATAGACCAAGGTCTATAGCAAACCTTAATTGCTTCAAATGTCACAGAAAGTGGAAAATGTTACCCAAAGGTTGTTTGCTAAAGTACTATGCTCTTTTTTTATTGTGTTAATATATTCGAAATACTTTCCATATTTTTCTACATTGTTTTTTTATTTCTATATACAGTAAATACAGCACCATAACAACATGTACTGATATTTGTTGCAGCTGTTCTCTAAGAGCGAGATGCATGACTGACTTCACGCTTGCAAGAATAAACTGCATCTCCATCTTGTGTTATTTTCTCCCTGCTGCTTGAGTTTAATAACATCATGAACTAAACAAAGAAGCTAATTTTTACAAAAAGTCTTAATATTGTACTTGTCATTGCAAATATTGCATCACGTTTGCTAGATCCACCAAATTCACAAGTTCAAAATTTGGGGTCTTATAACGTTTTTGGAAGAAGTTTCTTATGCTCACCAAGGCTGCATTTATTTGATCAAAATTACAGTAAAACAGTAATATTATTCTCATTTTAAATAACTGTTTTATAACTTAACATATTCCTTAATATATTACTGTGATGGCAAAGCTGAATTTTCATCTGCCATTACTCCAGTCATAGTTATTTAAATATAATGCAAATATAATTAAATAATAATAAATGCTGTTCCTTTGAACTTTCTATTAATTAAAGACTCCTGGAAAAAAAGTATCACTGTGTCCACAAAAATATTAAGCTGCTGAACTGTTTTTAACATTGATAATAATAAGAAATCGTTCTTGAGCATGAAATCTGAATATTAGAATGATTTCTGAAGGATCATGTGACACTGAGGACTGGAGTAATGATGCTGAAAATTCAGCTTTGCCATCACAGGAATCATTTACATTTTAAAATATATTAAAATAGAAAACATTTTTATTTAAATATAATAATTTCACAATATTAATGTTTTACTGTTGTTGTTGTTTTTTTTAAATAAATGCAGCCTTAATTTGTGAGCTTAAAAGACTAATTTCAAAAACATAAAAAAATATTACCAATCCCAAACTTTTGAATGGTCATTGCATTAAAAAATTCAATAAAAATGGCCACTAATGTTTTGGAGCCAGAATGCATCAATTTTTTTTTATCTCAAAGAACCTACAAAATGATATTAACACAAAAGATACTCAATTATAATTTGATGATAGTTGAAAAACCTAAAGTCTGAAAGAAATGGATTTGAATGACACTTTATTCTAAAAATGTTTGTCCATAAATGAAACAAAGCAATTAAATAAACACAATATTTATGAATTAATCCAAATATAGATGGTACAAAAATAAATGTGAAAATTGTGAGGTTGGATTTTAACACAAATGCAGCACATAATTTAAATTATAGGCCCAAATAAAAGCAGTCTTCAGTTGAACCCCAAAATATTGACTTAAATCAACACCATAATTGCTCTTTGAACGTGGCTTATGCCAATATTGTCGCCAGGGATGGGCAGTATTTCAGATACATGTATTTAAAAGACGTATTTGAAATACAAAGTACTTTTTTGTATTTTAAAGCCTTTGAAAAAAAATCGAATGTAATTTGCATTTAAGAACATTTTCCCACACAGTATTTTGTATTTGTATTTTAAATACATTTTCAAGTATTTATGCCCATCTCTGATTGTCGCACACGGAATATGTGAGAATATCTTTGACCTACAGTAAGAATGTTCACAGAGAGGTCTTGTCACTTCTTAAATGCGACAAAAACGTAAAGAATGACCCAATAATGAATATTCAGACATGTCATTTTATCATGAAGGACAAAATGAGGGGCAAAAAACAAGGCAGACCAGCAATGAGTTATCTTGAGTGAAATTCTACCATTTCATAATATTTCTCTACGCATTTAGTCATGTTATTTTATAATGCATGATATTGTGAGATATATTTAATGGACTCGTTTTTTCTCTCTCACAACAGTAAGGATGTTAGCAGTCATTTTATCTTATTTGCAGGAAAGATGCAAGTATGGTCAAGCATAATGCCCACTTGGTCTCTTACTATTCTGATACATACACTGCTCTATTGTTAAACCAAAGTGACTAAATAGAAAATGCACTCATTCTAAGAAGCAGTAAACAAAAGATAGACATTGAGCGCTTGCTAAAACAGGTGCAAAATAATTAGGCCCAGCAAAATCACTAAAACCAGGGCAGACATCATTACCTTCTGTGAAAGTCACAAGAGTGTGTCAGAAATGCTACCTATGTACTGCTATATGTCTCGGCTAAAAGGGAGTGTTTTGACACGTATAGTTAATTTAATATACAACTGACAGAATTCCTTTAATATTTAAAAGAGGCTGGTCAGCATCCTACTGGAAGTGTCTAGGAATGATTTCCAGAATCATTGTAAATCTTAAAACGGTTAATACCGCCTCTGTTGATCATGCTTTCCTCACAGCGTCGACTTTCACGGCCTGGATAAGAACGCAAAACAGCATTATAAAAAGTAATAAAACAAGCCAAATACAAGGGAAAACTAAACACACTATTTACACTACATACAAACAAACCATTCTTATCATTAAGTGTGACTGATGTCTCTCCCCAGAACTCTATTTTTGGCTTTACTGACAAACATAATGCGACTGCATGTCCTTTTTTCAATGGAAGATGAATTGTGTCAGATACAGGGTCGAGATGGCACAAAACTTGGAAGCTTTTCTCATCAAATGCTCTTTCGATCAGTTTTTTGAAGGGCAGTCTTTTGTGGCATACTCTGTAGTCTGGAGCTCCGTGTTTAGAGGTTGTCCCCGGGTTGGTACTGTGGTTCAGTGGCAGTGAAGTAATCCTCCAGGAAGGCTTGCAGATACTCAAAGGTGGGCCGCTCCTCGGGATCCCTCTTCCAGCATTGGAGCATGAGCTCGTGCAGGGAGCTGGGACAGTCCTGGGGACAGGGCATCCTGTAACCACGCTCTACTTGCTCCAAGACTTCTCGGTTGTTCATGCCTGAGGGACAAATGCAAAGCATGTGCTCTTTAACTGAAAAAAGCCGTGGGGCCCTCAAATTCCTGTATGATGCTGAGTTGAACTTTATTCACGCTCTTAAAGGGATAGTTTGCCCAAAAAGTGAAAGTGAAAAGTTAGTGGGGTCCAGTGTTGTTTTGGACCCCATATACTTGCATTGTAGGGACAAAAACAGTTGAAGCATTCAACGTATCTTCTTCTGTGTTCATCACAAGAAAGATAATCTTACAGGGTTGGAACTTTTTGGGTGAACTATGCCTTTAATTCTGTCATGGGTTTGGAACTCCCCCTCATGCCATTCCAAACCCATAACACGTTGGCTAATCTTCAAAACCCAAATTAAGATATTTTTAAAGGGGACATAACACAGTTTCTGGCAATCTCATACTAATCTTGAGTACCTATAGAGTAGTACTGCATCCTTCATATCACCGAAGAGTCTTTAGATTTATCAGATTTATAAAAGACAGATATAGCTTTACGCTTCTCTCTCCGAAAACAGTAGAGGTCCTGGAGGAGTGCCATGGGTGGAGCTTAAGAGTCACGAGCACACGAAGCGTTTGCGTGGCGATCATCTGCAAGCTGTGACATCAACATAAATAAAATTTATTGACCTAAATTTGAATATGTTTATAAAACATTCGTCACCGAAATGCCTGGAACAAACAAACACCCTTGCACAACTCCATTGCTGCCCCGGAGAAACAAACTGCATCCACTGTTCCCTTAACACTGGGTTCTTTGGGAAGCTGCAAGGTTATCTTTCCCTCACAAGCAAAAACACACTTCTTTGGCGACATTGTTGATTTTGTGGTCTAAAAAACAAAATGACAAATCGTCTCGAGCAACAGGCACGTGCACACATAGACATCAAAGGAGGCTTGAGCACCTGCCCTTTTTTCTTCCTCAAGAGAAAGTGCCCTTTTTTTCTGGGGAGTGTATTTTTTATTAATTTATTTTTTATAAATGAATATACCTATATACTGTATATGTGCACGTGTTTGTCACAGCTTTCCCTGTCAAACAAATAAAAAATCAAAATATCAGGTCAGGTCGGGAAATGTTGAGACTTTCTCCCCTCCGTGTCTCTGCGCAACACAGCAGTGTAGCACACATTGATCGGCGCATGCGCATCACAGGCAGGCAAAGAGCAGCAGAAGTGAAGCCCTCCCTCCCTTTCCAGTTGTGTTTGTCATGGTGTGGAGGTGAGTGGTGATGAACAACAGACTAAGCTATCTGTGCCTCAAATTTACAGCTAATTATCCAAAGACAAAAGGCAATTATACACTCTTAAAAATAAAGGTGCTTCAAAAGGTTCTTCAAGCGATGCCATAGAAGAACCATTTTTGGTTCCACAAAGAACCATTCAGTCAAAGGTTCTTTAAAGAACCATCTCTTTCTTACCTTTTTGTAATCTGAAGAACCTTCTTTCGCCAACCTTTTGTCAAACAGAAAGGTTCTTCAGATGTTAAAGGTTCTTTATGGAACCATTTAGACAAAAAGGTTCTTCTATGGCATCGTGAAGCACCTTTATTTTTAAGAGTGTAGTTAATTTGTCTTGCTAACATCATTTAACATAATTTCATATAGTTAATAAGTATCACGCGAAGACTGACGTTTTTTCCACCAAAAAGCAGCATGATTACAAATGTGATATTGATTTTATACAGCAGTTCAATAAACAAGAATTTAGTATTAAGACACTTACATTTTAGACACAATATTGAGTCTTTTTGCTCTATTTCGCCAACAAATATAATTCCAATTTGCATCTTTGAGTAACACAACACTGTTTTGTCACTCGTTTAAATGATTCGGTTCAGTCACAATGACTCACTTATTTAACAGTGACTTGCTGCCACCTACTGGCAGTTTTAATTTCACATTTAAAGTATCTTTTAATTATTTTAAATGAACTGCTGTGATCTGACCACCACACAGAATATGAAGGATATCAAAAACTTTAGGAGTCAGCTGTCCACGGCAGTCCTTAAGATATCAGCACAATTATCATTATACATAAAATCCCTGAAAATATTGAGATATATTTTTGTCAATATCGCACACCCCTAATCAGTGGCGGCTCGTCGGGGGAGGCACAGCTTCCCCAAAATTTTGAGGTGAAAATGGAAGGAGGACGATGTAATGTTAATAAAATTCACAAATCATTTCAATTCATGTCTCAGAATATGTATTTTGTCATTTCACAGCTGTAATACCATAACATGTTACTGAAGTTGGAAAGCGCCACTTTTCTATCGCGAATGTGCCGAATCTGCTGATGTAATTACAACCGCTAGGTGATAGAGAAGGGGAGGGGAAGGCCGGGGGAGAGCTGAACTCTCATGCCTCTGTTGGTAAAAAAAAAAAAAGAGCCAATCAGCATTGAGTGTTCACTTTTAGCGCTGGGGAGTGTTGAGAATAGAAACCTCATAGGGGAGGTTAGCCTCCCTTCTGGTATATCAACCAATCATCATAGAGACGTAAATTACGTGATATTAGTTTGAACGTCTGCCGCTGCGCTGATAATGTACCAAGTACCATGATGAGTAGCAATATTGAATATTTGATGCCAACAGATTTACCAAGCTGTCATTCAAACAGTATATATACAAATTAAAAATAAAGGGAGAACACGCCTAAGCTGGATATAGGCTAACGTTACAGCAGTCGGCTCTTTTAACACAGACTTTTAAGAAAGGATGGATGTTTGCTTCAAGTGATAGGGAAGGTAAGTGAAATTATATTATCTTGCTGTATGTGTGTCATTTTCTTTATGTTTTCTGACTAAAAGCAACCAAAAAGCCATTTTAAAGTGGTTAAGCAAATAATAATAATAATAATAATCGGCAAGGATCCCCAGACAAATACAATTAGTGTGCCTCCTCTATTTTAAAACCCACGAGCCGCCACTGCCCCTAATATATTTAACGTTTTGTTTAGAATTTTTTTTTAATAAATATGAGAAGTGCTCTTTTTTCCACTTGAGCCCCTGCCCCACAAAATGTCTGTGCACGTCGCTGCTGAGCAAGTACTGTGCAGTGCTGCTTATACGAACCCTGAAGGAGTGTATTTGGCACAGAAATACTCCGTCATAAATTCAACTCGTTTTTTTAAACTTTGGCCATGTTTAGCATGAGAATCCAACTCTTTAACAGCGTAAATAAGTCAGAAAGCATGAAATAGCATTAGACCGCCTCTTTAATAAACCTGAGCGGTTTCTGTCCTTCCACTGCAAGTCCAGGGGCCTGATGTATAAACGTTGCGTACGCACAAAATGAGCATGGAAATGTTGGGGATTTATTGGGATTTATCAAAAATAAACTTGGCGTAAATATGTGCGCACCGTGTGGGTACTCTAGACCGTGCGTACGCACTCTTTTACTGGCGTAATAGCGAAGCCTAATGATTTCAGACTCTCTTTTCCTTTCAATATACACATTTATATTAAATATTCTGCTCATTAATAGAGTTAAGCATTGACATTACATAAAGTCATTATTCAAAGGTTAAACAAAAACTTATGAAATGAGATATTTAGACATATTTGTAGTGGATGCGCTGTTTTTTTATCACTTTTCTTGTTGCATGCTGTTTTAATGACAGCGAGGAGTGCTAGCCTAGGCACACAGTAATGCTTCTTTAAACTGCAGACCTCATGTTAAGAGAATTGTTTTTTAGCAAGAACATCAACGATGCGCACTTACTTCGATATTGTGACAGACACTGCTGGATTCGGTGGTCGAACGGTCCACTGGCAAGATTAAATTGGTCCGAATATATTAGCCTACTGCACAACCAAGGCTGCACGGAGGTGTTTCCTCTTCAGGAACTCGAGCTGCGTCGGAAGACGCTTCGGGAACGCCCTTCAGCGTGACCGGCTCTGAACCTCGTGTGTAATCAGTCCAATAGATGGGCGAGACGTCAAGGGCGGGTGACGTAATGACCAGGAAGCTATAAAAGCATGTGCGGTGAAACCAGCTTCAGCTTTCTGTCATTCAGCAAGCGCTCTGTGTGTGTGTCAGTCTGATATCTGTTTGTGAGTCTTATTTAGTGTTGTATGTCACGAATCTAAAAACAAGACAAAACCAGATACCTAAGTCGAGGGCAGGCAGCATTCAGGCTGTGTGTTCCTCCCTGCCCGTGTTTCTTTACGGGTGGGGATACACACAGTTTGTTTGCTGTCTGCTTGGGAGCAAGCACGCAGTCATCTCTTGAAAAAAAAGGAGCTGACGGCCCATTTTGGTAGCGTTTGTTACTGCCTTGCTTCGCTCTCAGAGGGCTCTCTTTGAGGAGAGAGCCTTCACTAGCATTCCTCGCGGTCCTGGCCCCGCTTTCGCCGAGGCAGAGCAGCGGCTGTGCTCGTGGGTTTCGCATATGGATCCGGTGTAGACGGGCGCGTCCCTATCTACTTCCTTAACCACCAGATCCAGCGCCCGCTCTCGGGGTTCGGAAGCCCACGCTGCGGTACTTCCCCCCCGGGGAGAGGGCGTGACGCTCCGCCTGTCTTTCTCCGAGGAGATTGATATGGAGGGCGTTGAAGAGCTCGCCAGTTGCACAAATATCAGTTACACAAGCATATTATGCCTGATATTATAATGAGCAGCATCAACGGGGAGCGGAGTTCGCGCAGTCGGCTCTCGGGGGGCGGATTGTGCTTTTCCCGCTGTTAATCGCACCGCTCTCGCCGGGCACGCTGTTGCTGAGGCATGGCTGCGACTGAGATCGCGGTGATCCTATCTTCACCTGTGCTCCCTAGATCTAGAGCTTGTTCTCGAGGCTTGGAAGCCCACGCTGCGGTTCTTCCCCCTCTGAGTGAGAGCTTGCTGATGTGGCCATCTTTCTCTGAGGAGATTGATGTTGTTGGTGTGACTGAGCGGCTCGCGCGTTGCCAAAGCAACGCTTATATTACATCATTCGGTTTTTGATGTGAATCTTACTCACCAGACCGTATTTACTCCTCTGGTTGTTTGACTGCATTT